AAATGTGCAAAATTAGAATGAATCTTCTGCAGAACGTGGAATAATACGCCACCATATGTTTTGTCTTTTGTGCATTTGGTGAGTAGAGGCCCTTAAGGCCACTGCACGTATTCCTAAGAAAAGAAAAACGAGAAAAGAAAAGAACAGCAAGAAAACAGAGAAATAGTGACCCATAACCGAGATGCACAGACCGGAATTCGAATCCAGACTATATATTCTCTGCCCACCCTCACGGAGTACAAGTTTGAAATGTACCTCTGCATGACGTCGGGTCCTAGCTAATATGCTGTAGGGATCCTTCCGAAAAGAGGTTGGACACAACTAGGACGTTTTTATTTTTCTACTTTTTGAATGCGCCGCATCACTTGTGCATGCGTGCATGCGCGTGCGGCACCCCCGCGCATGAGATGCGCCGCAAGTATGATTCGAACACATCTCTCTCTCTCTCTCTCTATCTATCTATCTTGCTCTCTCTCTCTCTCCCTCTCTCTCTCTCTCTCACACACACACACACGCGCGCACTCACACACACACACACACACACACACACACACACACACACACACACAAAGGGGGTCTGAAAGGGGGTCTGAAATCCCCCGACAGGTGAGCGTGCTGGGGGGGCCCGGCCCCGAACCGGGTGCCCTGGCCGGCCAGGCCGCCCGGGACCTCCCCCGGGCCCCTGCCGGTCACCCAGGCGGCCCGGATCCCCACTCAGGTAAATGTTGAAAAATGAACGAACAAGGGCTCGGAAGCGAGAGATGAGGGGTGTCGAAAGATGTACTCTCTCTCAGGATCCCCCAGTATAGCTGCATTTTCGGTCCAGATATGCCGATCAAACGGGGAATACAGTCTCGTATGTGGTACTGGTCTATCTGGGGGAGGTAGATTAAGCTAGGTTGTTGTGATGCTTAGTTCGCTCCTCCTGGTCTAGGGGGTTGTGATTAGAAGTATGGAGATGACGCACAGTCAATCCTTCCTCTGGAAGTAATCAGTGCTGTCAGGATTTAGAGCAGAAGCGGAAATCAGACTGTTTACTCCCAGTTTTCATTGCGCGTTCTGGCAGTTGACGCTAGTGGACTCAAAGGGACTGTTCAGACTGTTTTGAAGCTTGCTTTTAAGCCAACAGAACATTTCCCAGCCATTTTTTAAAAGACGTGGCTTGAGTGCTACCACAACTTTCGGGGTAGGCCTACGGAGCAAAACGGCTTGTGGTGCCAGCCAAAAGGAGGACCTCGCTTGTTCGTTTATTTTGGGCGAGCAGCGAGCAGCGCGTTTCCAGTCCCAGCGAAAGGTGCCTTGGAAGTACTGGTGGTTTACGGTTTGAGCTGTTTATATGGATATGGATAGGGGCAGCTCGTATGAAAGTATGGGAGTGTCGGAGATCGTTATGCTGTCAGGTTTCCCTGGGCTGTAACATGGGGAGTGTGCAGAGTGTGTATATGGTGTACATTTCTGGCTTCCTGGTGGAGTAGAAAGTGGACTTGTGGTCCCCAGAATAGATATGGAGCCTGACCCATAAGGACCTGTTTTGAGGGGGGGCGAGGATGCGGGGGGTGGGGGAGAGATCAAGCAAAATCCTTGTGTCTGCTGAGTTCCCTCATCTTAGTCGTTGGAGGTGCCGCAGCTAACAGCTTACATCTTGCTGGAATTGTTGAGGTTGGATGGGTTCGTGGTAACTTAATGCTATTTCGGGGGGGAGGGGTGGGAGGGGGTGGGGAGATCACGCACAATCCTTGTGTTTGCTAAGTTCCCTCATCTTAGTCGTTGGAGGTGCCGCGGCTAACAGCTTGCATCTTGTTGGAATTGTTCAGGTTGGATGGGTTTGTGCCATCACAGGAGCAGTGTGTTGGCATAGGAGCAATGAAGCCTCTGCCTCAGTTCGGACATGCAAGGAAACGGTGATGTCGGCAACACCTCTGATCAAGCTTTGGGCCAATGCACGTCCTATTGATGATTCCGCTGAGCAGTGTGGGTGTACTTTTGCATCGTCGCTATCTATTAGGAGCTGCCTCTCAAAGAGTCCTTCCTTGGAGTCATGGCACAATCCATTAAACACCCTGGGTAGTGTTGAAGCCCAGCCCGCCTCGGTGTTTGAAGTTGATCTGTTTACTGAGGCCAGGTGATGGTTGCAGATTTGTTGCCTTCCTATTAATGACAGACTGTCTGAGACAACATGGAGTGTGTCTATGCCATCATCATCATCATGGCTGTTTGGGGGATGATATTGTCGAAGCCCAGCGCGCCACGGTGTTTGAAGTTTATCTGTTTACTGAGGCCAGGTGGTGGTTGCAGATTTGTTGCCTTCCTATTAATTACAGGCTGTCTGACACAACATTGAGTGTGCCTATGCCATCATCATGGCTGTTGGCGGATGGCCACTCACACGTTGCCAAAGAGGATTGCGAGCGTGGGTGCTCCTGAATCGGCGGCTTCCCCCCCCCTCTGAAATCGGCTGCAGTGAGAGGGTTTTCCACTGTCCGGAGTCGCAGTGGAGCTTTCTCTACTGATGAATGCTGCAATAAGCTGCCAGGCACAAGGTGAGGAGAAACATTATCTTTTATGTAAAATGATACTAAAATCAGAATAGCTCTTCATCTCAAATTCTAAAGAAATCACACAATTGCAAGCGTGTGTGGTCAACTTTGTGATCCTGGCCGTTCCGCAACCTCCAGGGTGTGTAATGGGCAAGATCTGAGATCGCAAGATGATTCTGCGATTGAAACGCGCAGTGAACCAGCCTCAGTGGGGTGTGTAATGGGCTCTGCGAATGAAACGCGCAACAAACCAGCCTCAATGCAATGCCTTGCGCAACTGGGCTGATACTTGCTGCTGAATTTTTTCTGGACTAGCACACTGGGCCACTGCCAGGAACTGTGTTTTTGGATGGGCACATGTGCTGGTTAAGCATTGCTTTGAGAAAGTACATGGCATGTGGTGTATGCTTTCATGAGTAGCTATTAATCACATGTCAAGGTGAATGTTTTGTCTGTCTGTGTGTCAGTCCACCGGTTGGTCTGTAGGTCCGTCAGTCGGGCGGGCAGGCGGGCCATCCGTTGCTCTGTGTGTTCGTCCGTCCATCCGTCAGTCTGTTGGTCGGTCCGTAGGTCTGTTCATCTGTCACTACGTCCATCCGTCGGTCGTTCAGTTGGTCGATCCGTAAGTCAGGCCACCCGTCAGTCAGTTCATCTGTCTCTCCGTCTGTTGGTTCTTCTGTCTGTACATCTGTTGGTCTGTTTGTCCGGTCGTCTGTCGATACATCAGTCCGTCTGTGTCCCGGTGTGTCTGTCTGTCTGTTTCTGTGTCTCTCTGTCTCTCTGTCTCTTTGTCTCTCTCCCACACAATTATGACACATACAAATTGATGAATGGCCTTTGCTTTATGGAAAATGGTCCACATGGTACTCCTGCCACAACAAGTCTAGCACCCACAATCTGGTTGTGGTTTGTCATGAGCCTGATGAATGATGATGAGATCTGATAATTGTCCATGTGTCGGTATCCAGTTACGGTTACTAGTTACGGGTTACTAGTTACGGTTACTAGTTACGGTATCCAGTTACGGTATCCAGTTATGGTATCCTGTACAGTATCCAGTTACGGTTACTAGTTACGGTTACCAGTTATGGTATCCAGTTACGGTTACTAGTTACTAGTTACGGTTACTAGTTACTAATGAGCAGTTGTGTGACCTGTGAGTATGTATGCCAGTGTGACCTGTGGTATGTATGCCAGTGGAAGAAAGCGGACAACGTTATCTTTATCTTTTACTTCTCAAGAATTTGACGACGGCTTTTGTTATAAATTGCCGACGAAAACTGTCCTTCATCTTGATGCTCTTTTCTACGTAAATGTCATGCATGGCTCAGAAAATTTCAGAAACTGGACGCTTTTTCCCTTTGCTTTAGTGGTTTGTGCCTAGATGGAGTCACTTTAACTCAAATTAACAGCACATATTGTCCTTGTTCTCCTTGCTGCTTTCTCCCTCCAATCTACAAAGGCTCCGTAGAATACCCATGCATGCACATAGACACCCCGTCCGATAAGATTGTGCATTTGAGGTGTGTGTACATCCCTGGGCGCATTCCTTTTTTCCCTTCAAAGGAAAGTGACTGTGCATTCCTGATTAGTTTTCTTTTTCCCTTTTTCTTAAGAGTTTTGCTTTCTTCGTACACCTGACAATTGAATCTCAATTCTGGCTGCTGTGAGGCAGGTTGCTGTTGCCACAAACGGGCCATCGTTGGAAGTGCTTTGGGGTGCAAGTCATGCCTTTGAAGGCTAACAGAGATTGAGCTGTTTAGAGCAGAACTACTCCTTGCTTGCGGTTACGACCGGTCTGGGGGCCAGGAAGGATTATGCCAGTTGCAGTGTCTAGAGACTTCTGCTGAAGCTACAAGGTTAGTAGCTCACAGATTGCTCGGGGAAGGCCGACACATTAATTAGGCTCGGACCCGCTCGGTGCAAAAGAATCAATCGGACTCCGTGTGTATGTCAAGCCCTGAGAGAACAGTGCCCGTGTAAGATGGAATATCCCACCCTTCTCTGTTCCCGGACTCTCTTCTTGGACTTTTCGTCATCCAGGTATGAAGAGGAAGACAATGGTCACATGTTCCCTCGACTATGAATAATCTTAGTAAAATGCACACACACACACACACACACACACACACACACACACACACACACACAACACACACACACACACACACACACACACACACACACACACA